AAATATTTAGGGTGCTCTTCATCATTTTTCTTACATTGTATCAGTAAAGGGCAATGATCAGAGCTCACTCTTGCTAGATGTTAGACGGTAGATATAGGAAAAATATCCTCCCATTCACTATTAACTAATAGTCTGTCCAATCTTTTCCAAATCTTTTTTTTGTTATTATTTCACCAGGTAAAATTGTTACCATTGAAACCTACATCCATTAGCATACAATCATCTATGCAAGAAATAAAAGGAATGTTCTTCCTTAGGTTAAAAGGTTTTCCTCCCTTTTTTTCTTCCTTCATAGTGATAGAATTAAAATCTCCACAAACAGCCCAAGGGTAGGTCCCTCCAGTAGCAAAATATCTCATATCATTCCATAGTTCTTCTCTTTCGACGCTAGTGCATTTAGCATAAACGATGGAGATGTACACTGGTGTATCAATGGTAATATGGGATAGTCTACAGTTGACTATTTGATCCCTATTGTCCAGAATATCACAGTTGATATCATGACTCCAGAACAACCAAATTTTGTTATTACTATTAGAGAAGCAGTTAGCCATCCCAAAGGTCCTGATGTAGTTACTAATATTTGATTCACCAACAAATGGTTCTTGAAAAGCCAAGAAAGAAATTCTATATCTTTGCATGAGTGAGATAACTCTTTCTGTTGCTGCTTGGGATTTCATCCCTCTAATATTCCAATTGAGGATATTAATCATTAAATGTTCTTTTTAGGAATTTTTCGGGATCCCTTTATGAGATATTTTCTTTCGGTGTTGGTTTTGTTATTGAAATATCTAGGATAAAGATGTCCCTACTGGATTACTCTATCTAATTCAGTTTGGATTCCTTGATCTACCTTCTTCCGTGTGCCAAAATGCTGAATTAGGATCCCTGTAGTTTCCTCTGAAGTATCATTAGAACTGTATAGTTCTCTATCACTATCTGTTTCCTCATTTTCTATTTCTTGATCATTCTCCTTAGTTGTTATTTGCATATGATTATCATATTCAGTCTCTTGATCAGTTTTCTCATCCACCAGTTTCATTTGACAATTCAGATCACGTGCTACTTGTTCCCCGTATAGCCCGACAACTAGATTAAAATCTTTCACATCATTCACTCCTTCCTTCCGGATATTCCCATTGTCTTTGCAAGCAGATTGGCAAAGTTCAGAAGGAATTCCATGTTGTACATTAATAACTTCGACCATCCTTTTCTTCTTATTAGCCCTTTTTCTAGCTCTAGCACTTTGATAGGAATTGTTGGAATAAGAAGGTGAGTTATCAGGACTGATGGTGGAATTATGATTCATATTGTCAAACACATTACTACTTGTACTTGTCCCTTTCTTGTTTTTGTTAGTTTCTGGATCATGTGCTTTCTCAGTATCCCTCTCGTAGTTGGTAATTAGTTGTAAATCATTGTTCTGCTTCTCCTCGACCATGTGAACATGTTCTGTTCTAACCAATAGTTCCTCTCCTCTATTCATCATCTCGAAGTTGCTAGGGGATTCTGGATCCTGGAGATTCTTTTCTTTCTCAACTTCTATTATAGAATCAGCCCTTCCATTTTCCTTATTCTCACTCATTGTATTATTTGTCTCAGCTGCAATTGTTGTAGGTTGTCTCTGGTTTTCAGGAAATTATTCTGTTCTGGCTAGTAACTCGTCTCCCATGTTCATCACCTGTCAGAACTTCTGTTATAGTATTAGTTCCTCCGTTATCCTTGTTCTCTCCCACATTGTTACTTTTCTCAGCTGCTCTTGTAGTAGGTTGTCTCTGTGGTTCAGGAACTTGATTGATTAGTATATAGATTTGTTTGGTCACTTTTTCTTTGTTTTGTGCATTGGCATTGATCTGCATATGAGCTATTGTTGTACTACTTTCTCCTTGGACAATTTCTTTCCCCTTGGTAGTAATCTTCTTTGGTTGTTGTTGGTTCACCATTATGTCATTGATCTGATTTTGTTGAATTGCTTGATTAAGCTCCTTTACTGGAATGCTCTTGTTAGTAGCCATGTGCTGACTACCTTCTCATTTATTTTTGGTCTGTTCCTTTTGCTCGGTAACTCTATCCTCACCTTGTCTTTCTCTTAGTTCAACTAAATTAATGTTGGATTTGTCTCTTGCTTTAATTCTGCATTGTTCCTCCTTATGTCCCTGGTGTTTACAATATTTTCAATAATCTGGTACTCCTTCGTATACCAAAGGTTGCCAGTAATCATCTTCATCCCCTTCGTCATATCCGACCCAAACACTGCCAGGAAGGTCCTTTGTGAAATTTACTTCCACCCTGGCCTTAGCTTCACAGCCCCTAATCTTAATCATAGTGGCCTTATCCAGAGAAAGTAATACTCCCACTTGTTCTACTATTTGATTCACTGCTTCTCAGTGAAAACAATGCCATGGAAGCATGGGCATGACTACCCAAATTGGGAAAATGGGGGTTTCCTCTCCCGGGACGAAATCGGGGGTCCATTTCAAAAAGCTCAGATGATGTTCTCCAATATCCATAAACCTTCTAAAATATACTAAATTGTAGTCATGTAAATTATCAACGTCTATATAAATGTGCTTGGAGTCCACATGAGTAATTTTCACATTATTTCTAAAATCGATTTGGATAGTAAAGTATTTTCTGGTACTTTCAATCTTTGGCATAGTGAAAGAAAATTTACACAAAATTGTGAATTTGCAATCAGAGGCCAAAGTTTCAAAATAATCTTTGCGGGAGAAAATCACAGCTTGTTTGCCCATTTTAGTTGTTTGCTTTGCCGGGAAAATCCTTGGCCTCCATTGTTGAGGTGCTGGAGATGCAGCGTTGACCATATTTGCATATGATAGAGTCCCTGATGATAAATTTGAGGGAGATGGATCAGGCTTTAAAATGGTGGGCGGACTTTCGATTGGGAAAACAATAGTTGTAGCATGCCGTGTTTCAATTGGAGATGTTTGAGGATTCGTATTAGCCAGATGTTCCATGTAAGCATTATTATCTGGTGGATGGTGGGTTGGATGTATCGCACTCGCCGGAATATGACCGGACGACGCGTGTATAGCCATGAGAAATTGGTTCAAGAATTAGATTTTGTTTCGCGCGTGGGGCACATACTGAATGACAGAATATATCCGTTGTGTCAGTAGACGGTCATCCGTTTAGATGACCGCACTCTGCTTAGATGAAGGAATTTGGTACATATAGTTAAATAGTTAGACTTAAATCAATTATACCTATTTGGATATATATGCCTTACTAATTTTGCATATAATTAAGATACAGTTCATTTCAAATAGCAAATGGTCGAAAGGTGGAATGGGGTAGATCCAGATCGGATGTTTGTATCTTTTTTCCTTGATATAATTCAGATTTAGAGTAAAAGAAAAATGGAAAATATAATTGCACGACCACGTACTAATAACACAAATGGATTTATAGCCTTTAACAGTTGTTTGATTGCAAATCGTGATATAATCCTCGGATTGCTATCCCACATCCAATGTGAAATAGCTAATACCATCATTTAACTATAAAATTTATACTGGTATTAACTAATATCTATAATTAAACTTTATTAATTTTTGTGATAAAAGTATAAATAATACTTTTAACTATAAAATTTTATCGCTATAATGACCTCTTTTGGGGACTTCTAGAAATTAGCTTAGTACGCAGGCTTTTAATTCAAATGAAGAGGATTTGATAAAGAGTTAAAACTATTACGCACATTTAATTATGTAGTGATTAAGAGCTTTGATATGATCAGTTCATCCATTAGCCTTGCAGAGTTTACATTTTATACATGAAAATAAGTAACTAACCGAATTTAATTACAAGAAACATGCCAATTTAATTTTTGCTAGAGACGATAATTTTAATTATATATCACCGCATTTGAATGGTTAACAATATTTAATATGTCACTATCTATTACTCCCTCCGTTCCAATTTATATGAACCTACTTCTTTTTTGGTCCGTTCAAAAAAAGAATGATCAATTTATATATTTGGAAACAATTTAGCTTAAACTTACAATTCTACCCTTAATGAGAAGCTTTTATAACCACACAAATACTCTGGCCCATTGACTTGTTTAGGACCATAAATTCCAAAAGTCTTCATTTTTTTCTTAAATTTCGTGCCCGGTTAAACATGTTAAAAACGGATGGAGTATTTATGATCATATTTGACCGATATCAGAATCTAAAATGTCACTGTCATTATCTACTGAGGAGAAATCTGGCAACAAATCACTTATTTAGGTCTAAAACACTACACTTCTTTAATTTTTTCCTAAAAAAATAATACAAGGGCATATATCGTACAACCACTATCCGGAGCAGATAATATATAGTAGTACTGCTAATATGCAGATGGAGACTTTCTTAATTACATTGGTGATAATTTGCCGATCTATAGAGACCTCCTTAATAATTATATGTTGGTGATAGCTTTTGCAGATAGAAATCTCCTTAGGTCATATTTACTGCACCCTAGTCCCCAGGTATTGCTTTTGATTTGAACTTTAAAACCCCAAACTAAAGAAGAATTGAAAAGTCACTATTAGACTGATGGCATTAAGAGCTAAATCTGGACTCATGTATAGAGAAAATCGTTCATACTCATTCAAAAATATACAGTACCAAACGCATTTCGCCTATTTAAAACTTAAATTTACACTTAAAATAACTCAATTTTTAAGCAAACACTAAAAATACACAAGGAAAATTTAAGTACAGTTTGAACAAAAGAAATACTCCATGGTTGTGTAGTACATCGTGGGCCAATTGGGTAAAACACCATCATCCCATGCATGCCGTTAGTAACCCCAACTATTTTTTATTACTACAAATTACTTCTAACACCAACTATTTTTTATTAAAACCAATAGAATAATTAATTTTTGAGTTAATTGTTTTTTTCAAATATAAAGGAGGTTGAGTTCACTCCTATAAATATCTCTCTTTATCAATTGTGCCATTCCACACACACAGACACACTCTCTCTCTCTCTCATATCCTCTCATCCTTAGTCCTCACAACCATTTTTCAGAATGAAGTTTCTTCTGCAGATCTCAGCTGAATTGGAGAATGTCTGTTCACTTCGTCCAGACGGTAACGGTGGAGTCAATAGTGTCACCATGCCATATTTTTTTCACGTAAAATTTTTTACAAACACAAATTCAGTTTCTAACTCTTTCTCATTTTATATACTCCTGCATTTATATAGCCTTATTCTTTTCAATGTGAAAGTCTTACCAACTCAGATTTGTTTCTAACTCTTTGTCTCTTACTATTGTTTAAGCTTAACTGTGAAAAATGTGGGGAAATCACTGATGAGCAGTGCACATACTTGAATCAAAGAGTCAACCATAAGGGCAAAACCTACAACCATGTTCTCAAGGTAAAAGAAAACAAAAGAAAAAGATATTGCCGTTGCTCTTCGTCTTTCTAACATTTTGTAAATGATCGATTTCTTTTTCTTTGACTGATAGTGCAAGGGGTGCGACAGAGTTGGAACGGTTAAATTGATCTCGGGTTCGGGAAAGGAGTATACTGCTGCAGATTCCGGAGCCTATGTTCCATTGATGGTTTTTGACGTTGAAGGGTTGCTTATGCATAGGTATGTCTTCAACGGCGGTTGGGAGGTTTTTCCGGTAAGTGTCTTCAGTTTCACATATTCATTTTTCCAAAAGATTGCAGACTTCTTAACGACCCTATAATTTCATTAATATTGTAGGTCTCTGGCAACAGTATCAAGGTCAATCTTGTTGGAGGCGGTTTTGTGGGAGATGGTGTTGCTCCACCTGTTGTGAGAAATCTGAGGAGCCGTTTCGTAAGAAAATGAGTGGTTAATCAACTGGTGGTCTGGTGCTTGCTATTTTATGTCGCTTGTTATTTCTATGTTTTTCGGATTTTAAGTGCTAAGATTTAAGTATTAAGACCTTTTCTTTTAGTGTACCTTTATTCTGTTATCGTTCGAACTTTGATGGGAGGTTGTTCCCATTGTTTTCCATCGCATTAAAAGAAGTTTATAATATGTAGTAATGTCTTTGTTGGTGAAAATTAGTTCGTCCTTTTTGCAATTCCTGATTCCCACAATAAGGCTATGAGGACTTGTGTGGAACAATGTTTCTTCACTTATTGAATTATCATTTACGCTATTTTCTTTAAATTCTATTTTATAACTCAAAATATAATTTTTACTATTATTTATGTGGGTTTTTACATGTGTACCATAAGGCTAGTCTAATAAATAAGGTAGGTTATACTTACTATAAAAGATAAAAGATATCTTATAAACTAAATGTTTTTTATTTTACTTTTACATCAATGTATGAAAAGTTAAAAGTCTTACCATATTGTGTTTGTAAGTTATGAATGATTGCATTTATTTGTATGCATGGAGCTCTTTAACTTCTTGGACGTCGAAATATGAATATTGAATATAAGTGAGACATATTTAAGCTATCATCAATCCCACATTTTGATTCNAGAATTAAAAAATAGCTTCTCAAGTGGCAAAGATTCAAAAAAGTGGTAAAAGTAGTAAAGAACTCCAAAATATAGCAAAGACTGATCGGGCATGGGATTGAGATGTATAACAGGGTTTATAAGATGTATAAACACCAGATATACACTGTTCTATGTAGTGTATATACATCTCGTGCACACTATATATATATATATATATATATATATATATTGCATTGCGTAATTCTCTCACGACCCAAAATCTCATCACAGGCGTCATGATGACACTTAGTCTCTAAGACTAAGTAAGCCGATTATAATTATAATTCAAGCCAATTATTTTTTAAATAGAAACTAACAACGGATTTTAAGTTTATGATGTTGTTCTATGATTATTGTTACGATCCAAAATTCCACCACAAACGTCGTGATGACACCTAGTCTCTAAAACTTGGTAAGCCGATTTCAATTACATTTTTGAAGTCATTTTTTCTTTTCTTTTTTGAATTAAATAAGTAATCAAAACTAGCATCGGAACAAATATGAATATACAACCTCCCAAGACTGGCAGTACTGAGTCACGAACTCTAACTGAATACATGGAATGATCACGATGACCAAATATACAATACTGTTTGATTATACATTTACGGAACGATGAAATAAAAAGACTCCAAGGTACCGCGACGACGAAGCAGCTCTACCTTGAATCCTTATGATCTCGCTTTAACTCTGCTCAAGTCCGACATCTCCGATACCTGGCTCTGCACAAAAATGTGCAAAAGTATAGTTTGATTACACCACGGTCGGTACCCAGTAAGTATCAAGACTAACCTCAGTAGAGTAGAGACGAGATATAGTCAAGACACTCACTAGTCTAATATCATGTGCAATATAATAAACGAAATAATAGGAAACTGTCACGACCCAAAATTTCTCCACATGAGTCGTGATGGCACCTAGTCTCTAAGACTAGGTAAGCCGATTTTCATTATAATTTTTAAGCTATTTTTTTTTTAAACTAACAACGAAAATAATTACAATATACAACCTCCCAAGACTAGTAGTACTGAATCAACGAACTCTAACTGAATACATAGAATGATCACGAGGACCGAATATATAATATTGTTAGATTACAAGTTAACAGTACAATGAAATGAAAAGACTTCAAGGGACTGAGATGACCAAGCAGCTCTAACTTGAAACCTTACGATCCCGCTTTAACTCTGCTCAAGTCTTTTATCTTCAATACCTGGCTCTGCACAAAAATATGCAGAAGTGTAGTATGAGTAAGCCACGGTTGGTACCCAGTAAGTATCAAGACTAACCTCAATGGAGTAGAGACGAGGTACAGTCAAGACACTCACTAGTCTAATAACCTGTGCAATATAATATACAAAATACTAGGAAACAGATAGCAATAAGGGTAGGATAAAACAACTAGTGGTATGCGCAGCAAGACAACAAGAATACCATAAACATCACTCAACAATTAATAATACATGTACGCCCAATTAATTCAAGTTTTTCAAATAAATATCCTTCACATAAAATTCTTCCAAATAACTCTCTTTCAAATGTAGTTTTCTCAAATAATTATTTTTCAAATATAATTCTTTCAATAAATCTTTTCAAATATAATTTTCTCAAATAATTATCTTTCAAATACAATTCTTTAATATAATTCTTTTTGAATAAAAATCCTTCCAAATAAATATTTTGAATATAATTCTTTCAATTAAAAAGTCAACGTGTGACACCTCATTTCATAATCATAAAAAATACGGGTCTCAGCCCATTTTTATATTTTTCGTAAACACGGGTCTGAGCCCATTTTTATATTTTCACGGCACCTCGTGCCCATAATTAAATCATATCACAACTGCATGGACAATTCACGTGCCAATTATCATCATCATTTCATCACAGCACCTCGTGCCCATTTTTTTTATCACAACTGCACGGACAATTCACGTGCCAAATATCCTCATTATTTACTGACGGCACCTCGTGCCCGCATATCAATTTATAATCTGCCTGGTAATAGCCACACGCTCTCAATTTCAACATAAATCATATTGTTATCAATTTACCAATAACAAGAAAAATTGCACAAGGTATAAAAGTAAACACAAGAAAATCACAACATCACATAAAAATTATCAACACCCCAACCCCACATCATCACATATCGTCCCTGACAATAGCCACCCTTATCGCTCCTATTGCAACCCTTATCACTCCTATAGCCACCCTTATCGCTCCGCCCAGACAATATCAATAGCCACCCTTATCGCTCCTATAGCCACCCTTATCGCTCCGCCCAGACAATATTCTAACAACCACAACAATAGTGAAATGCCACCCTTATACCCACATAATATCAACGGTGAAATGTCATCCTTATCTCCCTAAAATAACAACTCACACAACACAACAATTTACATGAAAAATTAACACGGCAACATAATAAAATCAATTCATATCACAATTTGCCCAATGGCCACAACCAAATTCCAAAGATATAACAAAAATTAATTAATTTCACAACAAATAGCCCAAGGCTCCACACAATGTATATAACACCCAAAAATAATCAATAGAAACAGAAATTACTCAGCATAAAGCAAAACCTTCATTAATGCAAATTTAGATAATTAAATTAACACATATTCTTAAGCTCACTTAAATTAATTATTTGCATAAGAAAATTCATATTGAAATTAATTTCCAAGAAATAATAAACCAACAATACTCACGAAATTTCTTAAATATTTCAAGTAACAATTATAATAGTTTTTCATAATTTTCCAATTTACTACACAATAATGCCTAAGACTTTAATTCAATGAATTTTGCACGTATAAGCCCGATTACGTACTCGTCACCTCGCATACACGGCTTTCACATTTCACAAATGGTACATAAGACTCAATGCCTAAGGGGTAATTCCCCCACTCGAGGTTAAGCAAGACACTTACCTTTTTGAAGTTAGGCCGATATTCCAAAATAGGCTTCTTGTTTGAATTAACCTCCGGACAGCTCAAATCTATCCAAATTAATTGTATAACTCGATTAAAATTCGTCGGAAACAATTCCGGATAATAATATGTCAACTTAAAAATTTATTCCAAAAAGTCAACAAAATTCAACGCGGGACCCGCCCCTCGGAACCCGACATAATTTTCATGAAATCCGAACACCCATTCCGATACGAGTTCAACCATACCAATTTTATTGAATTCCAAAAACAACTCGACCTCCAAATCTTAAATTTTTGTTTTTGGAAGATTTTACAATAATCCTGATTTCTTCCATTAAAATTCGAATTAAACGATGAATATAATCATAGATTCATGAAATATAAACACTTTAGGATATAGAACACTTACCCTAATCCATATGGTGAAAATCGCCTCAAAAATCTCTTCAATCCGAGCTCCATAGCTCCAAATATGTCAAAAATGGCTGAAACTTCGAAATATAGCTACTGCCCTGGTATTTACTCTTCGCGATTACAAGTTAATAGAAAATTGAATTGAAAAGACTCCAAGGGACTACGACGACCAAGCAGCTCTACCTTGATTCCTTACGATCCCGCTATAACTCTGCTCAAGTCCGTTATCTTCAATACCTAGCTCTGTACAAAAATGTGCAGAAGTGTAGTATGAGTAAGCCACGGTCGGTACCCAGTAAGTATCAAGACTAACCTCAATGGAGTAGAGACGAGGTACAGTCAAGACACTCACTAGTCTAATAACATGTATAATATAATATACAAAATGCTAGGAAACAGATAACAATAAGGGCAGGATAAAACAACCAGTGGTATGCGCAGCAAGACAACAAGAGTACCATAAACATCACTCAACAATTAATAATACATGTACGCCCAATTAATTCAAGTTTTTAAAATAAATATCCTTCACATAAAATTCTTCCAAATAACTCTCTTTCAAATGTAGTTTTCTCAAATAATTATTTTTCAAATATAATTCTTTCACTAAAATCTTTTCAAATATAATTTCCTCAAATAATTGTCTTTTAAATACAATTCTTTCATATAATTCTTTTTGAATAAAAATCCTTCCAAATAAATATTTTTAATATAATTCTTTCAATTAAAAAGTCACCATGTCACACCTCATTTCATAATCATAAAAAATACGGGTCTCAGCCCATTTTCTTATTTCCACGACACCTCGTGCCCATAATTAAATCATATCACAACTTCACGGACAATTCACGTGCCAATTATCATCATCATTTCATCACATCACCTCGTGCCCACATTTCATATCACAACTGTATGGACAATTCACGTGCCAAATATCCTCATTAATTACTCACGGCACCTCGTGCCCGCATTTAAATTTATAATCTGCATGGAAATAGCCACAGGCTCTCAATTTCAACATAAATCAGATTGTTATTAATTTACCAATAACAAAAAAAATTGCACAAGGTATAAAAGTAAACACAAGAAAATAACAACATCACATGAAAATTATCAACACCACAACCCCACATCATCACATATCGTCCCTGACAATAGCCACCCTTATCGCTCCTATTGCCA